TTCCCTTTTGCTTAGAACATATTCCTCTTGCTAAGACCACATTCCGTTTGCTAAGACCTTTATCTTTCCCCTCAGGACTCGCCCAGAGAAAAAAAAGCCTGTCTAGAATCCTTTAAAACCTCTGACTCCTCATTCCTGGGTACTGGGACCATTTTGGGGCTCAACCTATCTGGTTTTCCAGATGACCTCATAAATTCATAATTCTTTACTCCTTTTGCATCAAGTTCCTCCTCGGGCGACCTTAACACTTACACTTTATTTTATCTTATTATTTCACACACTTGATTTCTTCTTTTATAATTTTAATAAAATATTTCAAGCTACAGAAAGACAGAATAATGTTGAGAACACTTCTCATGTTGTTGGTTTGTCAAATCTTGATCCTATATTTACTGCAGATAACTTTTTTTTTTTTTAGTTTTTTTAATAGTTAATACATTTATATGTTTAAAAAGAGGCCAGGACTGGTTTGGCTCAATGGATAGAGCGTCGGCTTGGGGACTGAAGGGTCCCGGGTTCGATTCCGGTCAAGGGCATGTACCTTGGTTGCGGGCATATCCCCAATAGGGGGTGTGCAAGAGGCAGCTGATCGATGACTCTCTCTCATCGATGTTTCTAACTCTCTATCTCTCTCCCTTCCTCTCTGTATAAAATCAATAAAATATATATTTTAAAAAGAGTACAGAGCTAAGTCCCCATCTCACCCTGTCCCATAAGCCCAGTTCCCATCCGACAGGTGTTATATATTTATTTCGCCCCAGTTTTGTGTGCCAATGCACACATGTACCTAGAAACAAATAGGAACATATTTAGACTCACTTAAAAAACAAACAAACACATTAAGGGCAACAAATCTTTGACATTGTTCTTGTTGTCTACACTCCTACCACGAACTCTACACCGCCTCTTTCATCTCAGCTCATTATTCAATAAGCGATGCATAAAACTCCATGTTCACGATATCCTGTTAACTGTGGAGATTCGGTAGTTTGTCATCACACTGTTTGCCTCTACCCTTTCTACTTCATTCACAATCCAGTTTTCTGAGAAACAGAGAGAGACCTGTTTCCAAAGTCTAAAATGCCTCGAGCGTAGCAAAGGTGACGTTTACGCAAACAGGGAGATTTAACCTCTCTGAGGAATTCGGAAGAAGGAAGCTGTGGGGAGGGGGGCAGTGGGATGGGCGGGACCCGGGCAGGGCGGGGTGGGATGTGGGTGGGCGGGACAAGGGGGGCGGGGTGGGACGTGGTGGGCGGGACCTGGGCGGGGCGGGACCTAGGGGGCGGGGTGAAACGCGGAGGGCGGGACCTGGGCGGGCGGGTCCTTCAGCCACGTCCGCGCCGCGCCGCGCGCAGATTTGGCGCCAAACGCCGAAGGCTCTTTTCGCGGCGGCGGTGGTACCTTAGAGTCTCGCGAGAAGTGCGGTTTGCTAGCCGCCCCGCGCCGGGTGCTCGGTCCGCGTGAGGTGAGAGCGGCCTGGCGGGAGTGGAGTCCCTTAGGGGACAAGCGGCCGCGGGGTTCAGGCGGAAGGGTCGGGTGCGGGAGCCCAAGGAGGGACTGAGGAGGTGGATTACAGGGCTGAGGTGGACTACAGAGCAAGAGGGGCCTGACCCGGCGCGACCTGTGCGGCGAGGAGACCGGTGGGGACCGGGGTGTGCACATTTCCTTTTTGTTTATGTCTGGGGGCCGCCTCTCACTAGACCTAGCCTTTTAGCGGGAGGGGACGTGCATCAGAAACATCTTGTCTTGGCCAGCTTCCGTCCACCGGCTTCTAAACAGGGAAGGCATCGGTGACTGGAATGAATGAAGTGAGACGAGACGGGGTGGGGGGGTCGGGGGCGGGAATGGAGAGGAGGGGAAATGTAGTGTGTTTTCAGGGATGGATAGCAAAGAGGGAAAAACTTCTCTTGCTGGAGGTGCTTCTGTTTTGATAACTTGGAAAAAGTTGGACATTGGACACCTAAAGGATTAGGGAACGAACTGTATAGTTTTTAAAATAAATATATATTTATATATATATTATATATATATTAAATTTATTATATATTTTAAAATATATATATTTTGTTTTTTTACAGAGAGGAAGAGAGAGGGATAGAGTTAGAAACATAGATGAGAGAGAATCATCGATCAGCCTCCTCCTGCACACCCCCCACTGGGGATGTGCCCGCAACCAAGGTACATGCCCTGGACCGGAATCGAACCTGGGACCTTGAGTCCGCAGCCTGACACTCTACCACTGAGCCAAACCGGTTTCGGCAAACTGTATAGTTTGAACATTACATTTCTTGGTGAGGTTCCCTCCTCTGGGAGTTTGAGGACTGGAGGAAGGAGTTAAGAGAATTTCATCCATGTCTAAAAAGGAGACAGTGAAGAGACAATGCAGAAGTTATCAATAAGTGAAAGGTATAAAAATATAAAATTAAATTTAAAAAAAGAAATGAAAGATATCTTGTTCACTACCAGTTTAATGACCAGCCCCACCCCATGCTTGGCCAGCTCCTTATATCCGGCTTGCCACGCTTCATATAGTTTGTGTCCTGTCATCAACCTCAGACCTCCGGGTCTGCCTAGAAGGCGTGAACCCCATTTCTTCCTAGAGGGCGTAACTGCGATGGGGCTAAATATACTTATTGCAGCTACTTCAGAGGTTATGGTCTCTGACAGCCTTTCTTCCAATTTTGAAAATCTTTGGTTCTTTGACCCTTACTTGTAGATACAGTGGGTCATCAACAAGAGTTTATATTTTGTTTTTACATATTACTAAAGGCCCAAAGCACGAGATTTGTGCAAGAGTAGGCCTTCCTTCCCCTGGCTGCCAGCACTGACTGACCTCTGGCACCTGTGACCTGGGCTTTCCTCGCAGCCCCTTGCTTCGGTCTAATTAGCATATTATGCTTCTATTATTATAGATGATCATGGAAATTTAGAATTTAGATTAGAGATTAGAGATCACCTAGCTCCAGTTGTTTTACAGATTTGGGGGAAGCTGTGGAATTCCTTTCTTCATTCCCTCATTCAGCAACTATCTATTGAGCATCTGCGTTAGGGATGCAATGGCGAAGCACAAAGAGACCTGTCTGTCTTTGCGCTTTTAGAGCTAAGTCTGGTATGAAAGACAACTTTAATAAAATAATCACACAAATAGAACCTAGTATTGAAACAGGGTTAGTGCTATGAAACTTGTACCTGATACTTTAAATGCTTATTATAGGAGGATTTAGTTTAGGGAAATTGGGACAGGCTTTTTTGTGGAGGTGATACCTTGTTTCCCCGAAAATAAGACAGTGTCTTATATTAATTTTTTCTCCCAAAGTTGCGCTAGATGTTATTTTCAGGGGATGTCTTATCTTTCCATGCGCTAGGTCTTATTTTCGGAGGATGTCTTATTTTCGGGGAAACATGGTAGTAGAGATGTGAAAGAGATTAGGACTCAAGGAAGGCCTTAAAAATAGGAAATGTCCTTTGCAAAAGTCTAGAGGCCTGCCCTAGCCGGTTTGGCTCATTGAATAGAGCATCAGCGTGTGAACTGAAGAGTCCCAGGTTCGATTCCATCAAGGGCACATGCCCAGGTTGCAGGCTTGGTCCCCAGTAGTGGGTGTGCAGGAGGCAGCCGATCAGTGATTCTCATCATTGATGTTTCTATCCTTCTCTCCCTTTCCCTCTCTGAAATCAATATTAATAATATTAATAATAAATATTATTAATATTTAATATTAATATTTAAAATAATAATAATAAATATAAAATCAATATTAATAATAAAAAAGTCTGGAGGCCTGAGGGATATGGCTGTTTCAAAGAACTGAGAGAAAAGAGCATGAAGAGTTGGTGTAAAGTTGGAGAAGTAGGAAGGTGCCAAACCATGCAGAGCCTGAGTTTTATCTTTATCCTAAGAAAGAAGAAAGCCATTGAAATATTTAAGCCACGTGATAAAGCGATCAGCTTTATATTTCCATAGGTTAAAGTTAGCTGTAATATGGAGAATGGATTGGAAAAGTCAAAATTGGATAGGAGGAATGGAGAAATCCAAGTAGAAATGTTATGATGTGATTGTGGAGATAGGGAGAATGGACAATTGAAGAGATATTTAGGAGGTAAAATGGATAGGATATGTATGATAGCGAAAGGAAGTGTCAAGGGTAATTTTCTGACTTGCCTAGCTGGATAGATGTTATGCAGTGAACTGGGAAAATTAGAAATTCACTTTTGTACATGATGAGTTACAGGTACCACTGAGGAATTTAAGAGCTATAAAAAGAAAAATAGGGATCTGGAACTCGGATTTGATGCCTGGGATGGAAATAAAGAATTAGTGAGTTATCTATAATGCCATGTGTATAAGTGAGTGAAGAGGGCCTAGGATGGAGTCATGGATACTTATTGACTAGGATAAAGATGCATCTTCAAAGAGGATCTAGGAGGAGTGTCCAGAAAGGGAGAAAAGAGGTGAGTACTATGTTTCAGAAGTCAATGAAAACACTTGTGCAGAAAAAAGGAACTGATCAAAAGTTTCAGATGTTGCTGAGAGGTTGAGTAAGATAGTACAAAAAGCATTCTTTCAAGTTATCAACCTGAGGATTAGATTATTTCCTTTTCTTCAAAGGAACCTTACCTAGAAGAATATATAAACAGATTTTTGTTATAAGCTGTTCTGGTTGAAGTGGCAGTTGAGGTACCTGTCTTCTGCATATTTCACACCATTTGGATCATAGTTTGAAACCCTCTGAAAAGTCCAGATCATTTTATGATAGATGAAACTCAACAATTGAGTTAAAATGATTTGTTCAAAAATATATTATTAGTGTTTAGAACTCGGTTCTTCTGATTTCTAACTCAGTTCTTTTTTCTGTAATTATTATCATTTCCACTTTTCATCATGTCTGAGTTTGAAATATGGTGTATTTGGCTGCAGGTGGATCCTAACTGTAATAGGAAGACTGCTTGGACAAATAAACATGCTTACTCCCCCCCCCCCCCCAATCCCTCCAGGGGAAAAGATGCTGGAACCACAGGAGAATGGCTTGATGGACCTACCAGATTATGAGCATATAGAAGATGAAACTTTCCCTCCTTTCCCACCTCCAGCTTCTCCAGAGAGAGATGATGAAGGAGCTGAACCTGATGATGGTATGTATGGAGTTCTAAAAAAAAAAAATGTCTTATGTTCAGCTATCCATTTATCAGCTTAGAAATGACACATTTTATTAGTGAGGCTTAAATTACTTAAGTAATATTAAGTTTTGGTATATTCCACCAGAGTCAGGAAGAGGAGCACCTGTTCCTGTACCTCCAAGGAGAACAGTTAAAAGGAATATACCAAAGCTTGATGCTCAGAGGTATATGTACTATTATTCCCTTAAACATTTGTATTTTATAAAAATACATATATTTTATTGATTTTTTATAAAGAGGAAGGGAGAGGGATAGAGAGTTAGAAACATCGATGAGAAAGAAACATTGATCAGCTGCCTCTTGCACACCTCCTACTGGGAATGTGCCTGCAACCAAGGTACATGCCCTTGACGAGATTTGAACTTGGGACCCTTCAGTCCGACACTCTATCCACCAGTTAGGGCTTACTTTTTTTTTTTTTTTTTTTTTTTTTTTTTTTTAGTAAAGTATCTTTTTTCTTCCTTATGTTATAATCTATTGGTTGGGATGATTTGAAAATCAGATAGTTATAAAGATACTAGAGGCCCAGTGCACAAAATCTGTGCAGGGGCGGGGTGTCTCTTAGCCCAACATGCACCCTCTCCAATCTGGGACCCCTCGAAGGATGCCCGACTGCCCGTTTAGCCCCGATCCAGGTAGGATGGGGCCTAAATGGGCAGTCGGACATCTCTCACAATCCAGGACTGCTGGCTCCCAACTGCTCGCCTGCCTGCCTACCTGATTGCCCCTAACCTCTTCTGCCTGCCAGCCTGATCACCCCCTACCTCTGCCCTGCCAGCCTGATTGATGCCTAACTGCTCCCCTGCCAGCCTGTTTGCCCTTAACTGCCCTCCCCTGCAGGCCTGGTCACCTTTAACTACCCTCCTCTGTAGGCCAGGTTACTCCTCCCCCCAACTGCTGTCCCCTGCAAGCCTGGGTCCCTCTAAACTTCCCTTCCCTGCAGACCTGGTTGCCCCCAACTTCCCTTGTCTGCCAGCCTGGTCCCTTCCATCTGCCCTCCCCTGCAGGCTTGATTGCCCCCAATTGCCCTTCCTTGCAGGCCTGGTCTCTCCCAGCTGTCCTCCCCTGCTGACCTGATCACCCACAACTGCCCTCCTTTGCAGACCTGGTCCCTCCCAACTGCCCTTCCCTGCTGGCCAACTTGTGGCAGCCATCTTACGTTTTGGAATGATGGTCAATTTGCATATTATCCTTTTACTAGATAGGATTAGATAGGATAGAGGCCTGGTGCACTGGTGGGGACTGGCTGGTTTGCCTTGAAGTGTGTCCCAGATCAGGCAGGGTTTCCTTGGGGCATGGGTCGGCCTGGGCGAGGGGCCTGTGGTGGTTTGCAGGCTGGTCACGCTCTCCCCCAAGATAAATAAAGATAAATAAAACCCAGCCCCAGGCACTGGTATCTGGGTTTTATTTATCTTCTATAATTGAAACTTTGTAGCCTTGAGCGGAGCCAAGCCTCCTGCTTATTCTGTGGCTGCAGCCATTTTTGTTGGGATTTATTTCTCTTCTGTAATTGAAATTTTATAGCCTTGAGTGGAGGTCTGGGCCTTCCAGGGCAGGTGGAAAGCTTGGCTTCCTCCATTGCCGAGGGCAACCCAAGCCTCCAACTCTTTCGGTGGCTGCAGCCATCTTGGTTTGGTTAATTTGTATACTCGCTCCTGGTTGGCTGGTGGGTGTGGCTTGTGGATATAGCAGAGGTACGGTCAATTTGCATATTACGCTTACTAGATAGTATTAGAGGCCTGGTGCATGAAATTCGTGCACTGGGCGGGGTGGGGGGAAGGAAGGGCCCAGGACACCTCGCTGCTTATTGGCCACCTGTTTGCTGCTCCTTACTGCTTGGCTTGCTACTTCTTAGTGCTGTCACAAAGGTGGGAAAAGCACCTGGCTGCTGGCTGAGATGTGTTCCCCCTGTGGCAGCCCACTGACCACCTGGGGCACCTCCTGCATTGAGCATCTGCCCCCCGGTGGTCAGTGCGCATCATAGCGACTGGTTGTTTTGGTTGTTCTGCAGTAGTGGTCACTTAGGCTTTTATTATATATCTTTTCTTCTTATGGTCTTGATTTGACCTTGATAGTTCTAGAAAATTTGGAATTTAAAAATATATTTCTATTCACAGATTGATTTCAGAGAGAGGGCTTCCAGCATTAAGACATGTGTTTGATAAGACAAAATTTAAAGGTAAAGGTCATGAGGTAAGAAATGTCTGGTTTTTATTTTAGATCTTTGTTTTTTAAAATATAGTTATCCCTCAGTACCTGTGGTGGATTGGTTCCAGAATCTCTGTGGATGCTGGAATCCACAGATGCTCAAGTCCCTTATATAAAATTTCATATGGAATTGCATATATCGTACTTTAAATTATCTCTAGGTTACTTATAATGCCTAACAGAATGTAAATATTAAGTAAATAGTTGTTTTATTTCATTGTTTAGAGAATAATGACAAAAAGTATCTGTACATGTTCAATACAGATGCAGCAACCATCATAGGCCTAAGTACATAGCACATGTCAGCAACAGCGTAACATTTGTTTTCCCTGAATATTTTCAATTCACAGTTGGTGGAATCCACGTATGCAGAACCCATTCATATATAGGGTTGACTGACTCTATAAAACTGGGTCTGTTACCATGTTGTCAGGAATCTTAAAATGTTTCACAGATTTAATCAGCCATCATTGTATCTTTTGAGAAACTATGATGTAGAAAGGGAACTGTTAGAAGAATCAAAACCTGGCTTGGTTTTGCCTTCGTATGACTTTAGTAAAATCATATTTGAGTCAGTAAGCCTTACTTTTACTTTATAATTTTGAGGACTGGCTTAAAACCATTCTTTGAAGTAGACAAAGTAAATTTTATTCCTCAAAATTTACTTTGTCTATTTCAGAGAGTGGTTTTAAGCTTTATGAGAGCAAGGACTTTACCTTTTTGATCACTGAGGTGTTCCTAAGATACGGCACCATGCCTGGTTTCTTATAGGCATCAGTCAGGTTTTGTTGAAAAATGGAGACATTTAAGAACTGTCTCCCTGGCCGAGTGGCTCAGGAGTTAGAGCATTGGCCCGCACACTGAAGGGTCATGGGTTTAATTCTTGGCAAGGGCACATATATGGGTTGTAGGTTCAATCCCCTGGCCCCACAAGGCAACCAATTGATGTTTCTCTCTCCCTCTCTCTCCCTCCTTTTATTATCTCTAAAAATCAATGGAAAAAATACCTTCAGTGAGGATAACAACAAAAGGTTTTGTATTTCATTTAATTTGGAAAATTTTCATGTTAAATTGAAATTTCAAACGTAGGTATTTTGGTCTGAGAATGTTTAAACTGTTCTTGCTGGTCTTCAGTATTTTGCTCTTGAGATTTCTGAATGTATTTTCACAATGCTGAATTTTCAATGCTTTCTTCTCAATATGATTTAGGGGACCAACCACTTGTTTAGTTATTCCTAAAAAATATCTTGATATATTTTAGTAAAGATTATTTTTAGCATTACTTTACTGTCCTGCAAAATCACATGTGATTTTAACTTGTATTAAACTTAAAAATATATATATTTTATTGATTTCAGAGAGGAAGGAAGAGGGAGAGAGAGAAACATCCATGATGAGAGAGAATCATTAATTGGCTGTCTCCTGCAAGTCCCCTACTGGGGAATCAAGCCCACAACCCGGGCATGTGCCCTTGACTGGAATCGAACCTGGGACTTTTCAATTCCCAGGCAGATTCTCTATCCACTGAGCCAAAACAGCTAGGGCCTCTGATTAAAAAAAAAAAAATTGTATCCAGTGTTCTTTTAGACTGCAATCCTCTAAGCCCTTAATAAATATTTTTCTTTTTAGAGTTTCTTCACCTTATAAATGTAAAATGACACCAGTGACTTTGGCATTACTATTCAATTCTAAAATCTGCTGACAAGGTCAGTTCTGAGAAAGTTTTCTATTTAGCATTTTTATTTTTCAGGCTGAAGACTTGAAGACACTAATCAGACACATGGAGCACTGGGCACATAGGCTATTCCCTAAACTGCAATTTGAGGATTTTATTGACAGAGTTGAATACCTGGGAAATAAAAAGGAAGTTCAGGTATGTGTTGAGATTATTATGAGTTTCATTGACAGTATTGAATAGTACGAGGTAAGATTTAGTTAAGGCTGAGTAGCTGTTTGGGATCTTAATTTTTAAATCTGTCTTGGTAGAGAGAAGAAAAATTAGTTACATCTTTTTGAATCTCAGAATGGAAAAATGACCATTTTCCTCCAAATGTTATTAATAAAAATGTAAAAATGTCTCTTTATTTTCAGACCTGTTTAAAACGAATTCGACTTGATCTCCCTATTTTACATGAAGATTTTATTAGCAATAATGGTAAGAATAAATTACTTGTCTACTTTATAACAATTTTTCCTTTAGAAATAGGTTTTGTTGGGTGGTCAGTATAATAGGCCTGGGTTCTTAGTCTATGTTGAGTATATAATTAAAGTACAGTAAATACTAATGAGTTTAAATGCTTTGGTAGATTTAGAATGTTGTGTATATTTATTTCTTTAAAGGAATGGCTGCAATGCTATTAAGAGATGTAAAAATATATTTAGCCATAGAACATGAGCTTTTTAAGAAATCTGATGGTGATCCACTGATCCTTTGTAGTGATTATTAGTAAAAATATATGACAAAATACATGTACACCATTAAAAAAAGTGGCTCTTGGAAATTAGGCAGAATCATTTGATGATGAAATAGTTTATATTTCACTTAAGAGTGCAGATCCTGGCCTAGCTGGTGTGGTTTAGTGGTTGAGTATTGACCTATGAGCCAGGAGGTCATAATTTGATTCCTAGTCAGAAAATATGACCAGGTTGCAGCTTGATCCTCAGTAGGGGGTGTGCAAGAGGCAGCAGATCAATGATTGATGTTTCTGTCCCTCTCTCCCTCTTCTTTTCTCTCTCTGAAATCAATAAAAACATAAAAAAAGAGTACAGATCCTGGGTATAGGTCTTGAGTAAGACCTATGTGACTGTTCCTGGTATTGATTGCATTTGTTGGCTGTACAGTGCAACCATAGGTAGTCACACACATCAAAACGTGGTTCCTGCCGACAGAGTCTGTATAGTTATCAGATTTTCTGTGCGATGGCTCCATACATGTTTGTTTGCTTTTTAATCTTTTAATATATGTGGTGTAAAATATAGGCTCATTATAGAATTCCCCAAAGTTATTTATAAATTACTTTTAAAAGTGAAAGATTGTGGTTCTGGATGATGTCTGTTTTGTCTTTTAATTGTAGTTTTGAAGTGGTTGTGCAAGGCAGCAAGTTCAGGTGTTTACCTATGCCGCCATCTTGATTTCTCCCAATGTGTATATATATTTATTATTATTATTATTATTATTATTATTATTATATGTGTACATATCTTACCATTGACCACCCCCCCAATGTATATTTTTAAATTAGTGTTTTCATTTGACTTAAAATGCCTCTTTAAAGTGACTTACAAATATTCCTTTTACTTGTTTAAATCAAATATATGTTTGTAACATTTTCATGCCTCACCAATTGTTTCCTGTGTGTCACTTGAAACTGGTTTTAAATTAATAGCTATATAAGCTTTTTTTTCTAGCTAGTTTAATACTAGAGATATACTCACTGTTTTTTTTTCCTACTGCAGATGAAGTAGGGGAAAATAATGACCATGATGTAACTGCTACTGAATTAGATCCATTTTTGACAAACTCATCTGAAAATGTGACGTTTACTTCTGAATCAAGTAGAAGCCTAACTGAAGAGCAGCAACAAAGAATTCAGAGAAATAAACAGCTGGCCTTGGAAAGAAGACAGGCAAAGCTACTGAGTAATAGTCAGTCCTTAGAAAATGGTAAATGTTATGCTGGTTTTTATGTGCTACCATTAATATAGCAAGGGCATGTTAGAAACTTAACTTCTCTACTATCTTCCAAAATAAAATACCTCTAGAAATAGAAAAATGATATAGTATATTAAGTTTATGTACAATTGAGAGAAAAGGACAGTGTGTGTGTGTGTGTGTGTGTGTGTGTGTGTGTGTGTATGTGTATGTGTGTCTGTGTTATCTATTTGGAATCTCCAAAAAATAAATGTCTAAGTTGATTTTCTGAATATTTAAATACTTCTTAAAAAGTTATTTTAATCATTTAAAATTGATTCTGAGTCTTTTAAAAACATTCTTCCCTGACTCCTTAAAGCATGTAACATAATTTTGTCTTTAGGATCATAATTATGAACATTAATTATTATGGTACTTTTCCTAAACATATAAAATGCTTTTTGCAACCAGTGAGGATTATAGAGCCATTTGCTATCACGTGAATAAAGTAGTTCTAAAATTAAAAAAAATATATATATTTTTTTCATTGATTTCAGAGAGTAAGAGAAAGAGAGAAACATCAATGATGAAAGAAAATTATTGATTGGCTACCACCTGCACACCCCTCACTGGAAATCGAACCCGTAATTCGGGCATGTGCCCTGACTGGGAATTGAACCATGACCTCTTGGTTCATAGGTCGATACCCACTGAGCCACGCCAGCTGGGTCCTAAAATGTTCTTTTTTTAATTTTATTGTGTCACTGTTGTGAGCTTTCAGTTTGATTATCTGTTACATTCCCTTCTCTCTAGAAAAACTGCCATAAAATGAGCTCTTTTAATTTTTAAAAATATTTTTATTGATTTTTAAGGAGAGAAGAAGGGAGGAGAAAGAGAAACATTGATGTGAGAGCAGGACCTCTATCAGCTGTCTCCTGCATGCTCCCTACGTGGGCCTATGACTGACTGGGAATTGAATCTGCAACTTTTGGTGCATGGAATGGCATCCAACCAACTGAGCTACACCATCCAGGCCAAAATGTGCTTTTTTTTAAAAACAGACTATGGTTTTAGAAACTAGACAGCCATGTTTGTTAAAATTGTATTTAAGTCCTGGCTGGTATGTATGGCTCAATAGTTGCATGTTTGCCTGTGCACTGAAGGGTCTCGGGTTTGATTCCAGCTCAAGGGTAAGTACCTGGTTGCAGGTTCGATCCCAGGCCTCTGTTGGGGCACATGGGAAGACAGCTGGTCGGTTTCTCACTCTGTTAATTTCTCTGCCTCCCTCCCTTCCTCTCTTCCATTTTCTGTAAAAATCAATGGAAAAAATACCCTCAGGTGAGAATTAACAAAAACAAATCTGTATTTATTTATTTATTTATTTATTTAATATATTTTATTGATTTTTTTACAGAGAGGAAGGGAGAGAGAGAGAGAGCTAGAAACGTCGATGAGAGAGAAACATCGACCAGCTGCCTCTTGCACACCCCCTACTGGGGATGTGCCCGCAGCCAACTTACATGCCCCTGACCGGAATCGAACCCGGGACCTTTCAGTCTGCAGACCGACGCTCTACCACTGAGCCAAACCGGCCTTGGCGACAAATCTGTATTTAGAAATAACTGCAGCCTTGGCCAGGTAGCTCAGTTGTTTGAGCATCAACCCCATATGCCAAAGTTGTGGGTTTGATTCCCAATCAGGGCACATATAAGAATTAACCAGTGGCCTAAACCGGTTTGGCTCAGTGGTGGAGCGTCGGTCTGCGGACTGAAGGGTCCTAGGTTCGGTTCCGGTCAAGGGCATGTACATTGGTTGCAGGCACATCCCCAGTTGGGGGTGTGCAGGAGACAGCTGGTCGATGTTTCTCTCTCATCGATGTTTCTAGCTCTCTATCCCTCTCTCCTCCTCTCTGTAAAAAAATCAATAAAATATATATATATTAAAAAAAAATTAACCAATGAATGCATAAATAAGTGGAACAACAGTCAATTTTTCTCATATCAATTAAAATAAATAGGTAGGTAGATAAATAAAATTGCAAATTGGCTTTGAATGAAGCAGGATGGCATGTCATTCTCTATTTCCAATCTAGTTTTTCCTTTTGAAATAGGACAGTAAGAATTATAGTAAGTAGTGAAGTTTATCATGTCATAAAACAAGGTTCACCCAAGATAATAAAATTCTCAAGTGAGAAGTATTGTGACTACATTATCATGATTTTTTATAATTAGAGTGAATTTTAAATTTTCAAATGGATGTTTTATTTCCATGTGAAAAATTACTTGAAGATAAAACTATTGTTGATAGCAGTGTCTTCCTTGCTCTGATTATCAATAAGCATTTTAAGGCTTATTTTCTATTTATAACATATGACTTTAAAATTTTCCTATATAGATATAAGTACCTGAAATTTTCTTTACTATATGTCACTTTGACATACAGCTGTTAAGAGCATTTAAACTTTTAAAACTTGTCTTGTAGTTGTGATTTTGAATGAGAACAGTTGCATTTTAAGACCTCTCACATTAAATTTTTTAAAAAAATTTATTTATTGATTTTAGAGAAAGGAAGGGAAGAGGAAGAAACATTGATTTGTTATTCCATTTTCTTATGCATTCATTGATTGTTCTTTGTATGTGCAGGGGTAGCAACCTTGGTAATAGAATTACAACATTGGTGTAACAGGAAGATGCTCTAGCCAATGAGCCACCCTGCCAGGGCCAAGACCTCTTGTATTTTTGAAAGGGCTTTATACATATGTAAAAATGGCTTTAAAAAAAAAAAAAAAAAAGGCTTTATTTGGAGGTAACCATAATAAACATAATATCACAGACATAATTTCTATTGATCTAAGCTTGTGAAGAAATTTCTGTTAGGTAAGATTGGGTGAAGTGTTTAATGTTTAACAATGATTTCTCTTTCAGACTTGTTAATAAACACGTCCAGGGCACAGACAGTTGGAGATGTTAATACGGGTGAGGATCAAAACAAGAAGTCAGATGAACTTAACGAAGACATTCTAGATAATCCACATAATGATGCTGTTGCCAATACTGTAAATGAAGAGGAGGAATTAAAAATAGAGAAAACAACTGGACCAATCCTTTTAAATGTATAGCATTAACTTTATGCTTCATTCTGAAAAGTTATTGAGATTGAATAGGCCTCAACTAAGAGGAAATTAATTTGGTATCCTCAAAGTTTGAGATTACTATATATTTTGTCTACTTTGAGTGAAATCCTTATGTAGTAAAACCTTTACAGATTCCTGTTTAAAATCTGGTATTTATAATTGTACTTTCTTCTTATTAACTTTAGTTAAGTCTATTTTCTTTAGTGTTGTACAGTAGGTCCTCGGGTTACGCCGGAGATCCGTTCTTACAGTGCAGCGTAATGTGATTTTCGCTGTAAGTTGGAACCCACCTACATAAGCACCTTCATTACTCACATGGAGCACATACATAGCAGTAATGAAGTGAAACAGTAAAAATAATTAAAAAAAAAACAATTCCTGACCTTTACTTGTGGTAAATAAATAATAAAAAACATAAGCACATATGTCAAAATGATGGAACTTTTTTTTTTAATAAATAAATGGGAGATGGCGACTTAAATGACGTAACCTGGGGACTGCCTGTATATAGATACGATTTCATAACAATGACTGATAGTTAATAAGCATCTACTGCTGCCAGGGTGCCATTCTGTGCCTTGTTTTCACTAAATTAGGTGGAGTTTTAAGATGTAAATATATGTGAATATTAATGTACATTTAAATAAAAAATCTTATCAACTATAGATGCTTTATAAAAATTTCTTTTAAAAAAAAAGCTTTTTGTTGAGAGTATTACAGATATCCCTCTTTTCCTCCCATTGCTTCCCTCCAATGTGCACAGGCCTTTACCATCCTATTGTCTGTGTCCATAGGTAAGGTATAAATGCATATGAGATCTTTGGTTATCTCTTCCTGCCCCTCCACCTCCCACTGAGATTTGTCTATTTTATTCATCAGTTTATTTTGTTCATTAGAATCCTTGCTTGTTTGATTTTTAGATATAATTGTTGACAGATATGTATTTATTGCCATTTTATGCTTCTCTTGTTCCTCCCCCTCTACCCTTCTCTTTTTTCCCTCTTCCTCCTTTTCACCTTCCTCTTCCTCCTCCTCTTTTGTTGAGAAATCGGCTGACAGTCAAATGGGAGTTCCCTCGTAGGAACTAACTGCTTTTCTTTTGCTGCTTTTAAGATTCTTTGTCTTTAACCTTTGCCATTTTAATTATGATGTGTCTTGGTGTGGGCCTCTTGTCTGAGCTCTCTGCCCTCCCTGTAAATATATATATTTAAACTTGTAAATATATATATTTCACCAGGTAGGGAAAGTTTTTTGTCATTATTGCTTCAAATAGGTTTCAATAACTTGCTCTCTTCTCCTTTTGGCACTCTCATAATGTTAATGTTGGTATGTTTGAAGTTGTCCCAGAGGCTCCTTCCACTGTCTTCATATTTTTGGATTTTGTTTTTCTTTTTGCTCTTCTGACTGGGTGTTTTGGTTTCTCATATTCCAAATTGTTGATTTGATTCTTGGTATCCTCTACTCTGCTGTTCATTCCCTGTAAATTATTTTTCATTTCAATTAGTGTATCCTTCATTTCTGACTGGTCCTTTTTTATATCTTTGAAATTCTGAGATCCTGAACATCTCACTAAGTCCCTTGAAGCTTTCATTAAGATCCTTGAGCAACCTTGTAATCATTGTTTTGAACTCTGTATCCTGTAGTTTGTTTGCTGCGATTTTATTTAGTTCTTTTTCTGGAGATTTCTTCTGTTATTTCATTTGTGTCATGTTTTTTTGACTCCACATTTTGGCTGCTCCCCTGTGTTGCTTCTGTGTATTAGATAGAGCTGCTAATTGGTAAAGTGGCCTTTTGTAGTAGGTGTCCTGGAGGGCTCAGTGACTTAGCCTCCCCAGCACATAAACTGGGCACTCTTAAGTTCCCCCCTGTGTGGGCTTTGTAAACAGTCTCATTATAGTTGAACCTAGATTGCTGTTGGCATCACTGGGAGATTCCATCATTGACCTCTATTGGCTGTGAGGGCCAGCTGTGGCTACAGTGGAAGAGCTGCTGTGCAGGAGGCACTCATCTCCCCCATACCCCTGGCCAAGCTGCTGCCCCAGTGCTACAGCTCAGAGGAAGTGAGTCTTTATGAGATAAACTACCTGGTCTCCAGCAGCTTTCATATCACTAAGCCTATCCCTGCTGGTTTTTATAGCCCAAACAAGAGGCCTGATGCACGGATAGATCCCTAGGTCTGGCTGGTGATCAGGGCTGATCTGTGGGGTGACTGGTGGAGCAATTGGGTGGCCCCTACTGGCACCTCTTGGCTGGTCTGGAGCCTGCGGGCTGGAGCAGCTCCTGCGTTGAGTGTCTGTCCCCTGGTGGTCAGTATGTGACCGGTTGTTCCACTTATCGTTCCGCTGTTCCGATTTGCATATTAGGCTTTTATTATATAGGATTCCCAGCTCTGGAACCCTGGGGCCCATTGCTTCTCTTAGGAGGCTTCTACAGCTGAGATATCCCTCTCTATGAAAAAAAATGCCAGATTGGGTGTCTGAACAGCCTATTACATGCCTCCGTCCCTCCCACCAGTCTCAATGTGTTTTTTTATTTGTGAGAATTCTATTCAGCCAGGTTCCAGGCAGTTCTGAAGGATGGTTGCTCTGTATTTTAGATGTGGCTGTGGGAGGCTGTGGGTAATGTCATTTACCTATGCCACCAACTTGGTTCTATAAGTTTCTTTTTAAAAAAAAAATTTTTTTTTTTTTATTGATTTTTAACAGAGAGCAAGGGAGAGGGATAGTTAGAAACATCGATGAGAGAGAACATCAATCAGCCTCCTGCACACCCCCCACTGGGGAAGTGCCCACAACCAAGGGACACCTGTCTGCAGGCTGACACTCTATCCATTGAGCCAAACTGGTTTTGGCTATAAAAATTTCTTATTGCTATTTAGTTCAGCCATTTTCACTTTTGGTAAAATGTTTAAGGTTTTTATATGTGTTTACATGTATTTTGAGAAATAACTTTAATATTTAAAGGGTCACATGAAAGGTTAATATAGTGCCTGGCCTGCCTAGGAGCTAGGGAGGTTCAAATGCTCCTTGGTACCTACTGACCAGTTGGAGGGAAATTTGAAAAGTATTATGAGGAGATTCACAGGAGACCTTTGAGTTAGAGATTCCAAGGATTGGGGATTTTTTTCTTTTTTCCCTCCTTCCCACCCAGATTGAGGATTTTAGAGGGGTAATTACAGATAAGGAAGTACTACATTGACAACCAAGTTTAAAGAAAGTCTCTCTAGTTCTTGGCAGGAGATTCCCATTGGGGAAAGGGAAAGTCAAAGCTAGTTTTTACAAACTAGGAGATGGGAAAGTTGCTTTACATGAGAAAGACCGACAGAGGGATGGTTCTGAATTGGCTTCCATCCATGAAGTTGGGCAGTTTGCTCTCTTCAGGCTTGCTGATTCAGGTAAGAGACCTAGAGGCATAAGCTTTGAGGATTATTGCTTGTTGATGTCAGTAGGGTGACCAACTAAAAGATGGAGCCCAGTCTCTTTAGATCTAACCAATGGCTAGAGAGACTGCTTTCTTAGGATGGCCTGTTCTGGCTTTTTATCCTCACCAGCTGGATTAGAGAAGATGACAAAGGGAAAGGGCAGTTACTTTTCCAGTGGTGGGATTTGCTGGCAAAGTGACAAATCTCCAAGAGCAAGACCGATGTAACTTATCATAAAAAATGAGGGTAGAAAGGGAGGTTTGAGAGAACAGAGCTTACCTGAGCACCCCACTCTACTCCTATGCCCTATTACCAACTGGTGCTGTGGATAGTAGGGGAGGTTAGAGTCAAATATGAAATAGTTTAAAAGGGATAGGTGGACAGGACTAAATCTCACTATCTGAAAGTGATGAAAAGTTAATTTGACAGATGTCAGACGGGCCTATAACTTAAATGGCCCATTATTGCAATTAGTGGAAAGAACTGATTTGAAAGAACTGTTTTTAGGCAAGCTAACCAAATATTAATTCTGGGTTTATTAAAAAACTGGCAACCTGATTTGGAGAGCCAACATTCACTATTCATTTCTGAAAAATCAGTTTCCATAGTGACCTAATTGTACTTTATTTAATGCAACTTTAATGATGAGAAAACATTTTACACATACAGTAGTCCCACTTAGCTCCAGGGGATATGTTCCACAACCTCCAGTAGGTGTGAGACTGGATGGTACCAAATCCTATCTACCATATTTTCTCCTATATACACATATCTATGGTAAAGTTTAGTTTACAAATTAGAAAGTAAGAAATTAACACCAATAATAATAAAATAGAATTATAACATGCTGGAATAAAAGTTATGTGAATGTGGTCTCTTAGCAAACTAGCATGAATTTCCTTTTCCTTCACAATTTCACGGACAAAAGATTCATTCCTTCTGTAGATCTTAGCAACCTTGGCATATAATTTTTTATTTTTTTTTCCTTACTGAGAACTGTCACCTTTTCACTTAAGGAAGCACTTCATTGCTTGTCTGTGGCACATTTGAATTACCAGCATCACTTTGTGCTCTTGTGCAGGGGGTCTTGTCCAGCATCTAGAAGGGCTCAGGAATCTGGAGAAGGAACTGCTGTAAATTATTAAAGTCTAGAGACAAAAGATAATTTTGGAAGGCATTTTGGGAAGCCAGAGTTGTTTAGCTATAGTAACCAAGTTCTCTGTCTCTCTAGACCCCTTGCTTTTTTGTAACACAAACTGTCCTAAGGCAAGGTAGATATATCAAAGGCAAGGTTTAGTATACAGAATCCATTGTCAGATTGGGGGAACTGCCTATAGCTGTTCAGGTGTTTGGCGAGTAGGAGGCAATAACTTGTAGATTAAAATGCCCTCACCTGACCGAAACCCGGTTTGGCTCATGGATAGAGCGTTGGGCCTGCAGACTGAAAGGTCCTGGGTTTGATTCTGGTCAAGGGCATGTACCTTGGTTGCGGGCACATCCTCGGTGGGTGGTGTGCAGGAGGCAGCTGATCGATGTCTCTTTCATTGATGTTTCTAACTCTCTA